CATGTAGGAGTTTGTATCCTAATCGCAAGAGGGAGCTAACTCTACCTCTATATATATCTTGTAATGTTCGGTTGAAATAACAAACAGAGAAAGAATATCTTTCCCTTCAAACTCGAGTTTCTCAGTTTCTCAGATGAAGTCTCAACATATAAATCATATTTCAATCCAATTCTTGAACTCTTTGGTAGACTCCAATTGTGGGATAGCCTAGTTGGTGTGCTGGATGAATTGTTACAGTCTATGATACGGTTCAAATCTTGCTATTATTGAGGGTGTTTGATTCTGTTTATGTTTATTGAGTAAAACGTTTTATATTTGTATGGCTATAAAACTGAAAAAATAATTAATGAAACGTTTATGACATAAACACCACATCAGCAAAGTATCAATAAATGTCTTCCAGTTCCAGGAAACTTTCTGAAGTCTTTGCTTACAGGACGCAATTAATGAAGTCTTTGCTGACAGGACGCTTATGTGGCACCATTTACTCATTAAACATAAACACAACCTAACACATACATTATCACCCTAAAAAATAAGTATTGATGTTATGTTGTACTATTAGTAACGCTGTAACGGCCCCTGTAGACTGCCAGTGATTAATACTTTAAAAAAATAAAATCTTTCAAATACATTTCCTAACCTCACAAAAAACTTGACAGCAAACGAAAAGGTGAAGAATCTCCTTGTGAGTTCATCTTAAAGTAAGTTTTGAGAGTTTTTCCATGGTACTCTAATCGAGTATACCCTGGTACCAAAAATGAATCGAGTATACCCACGAATACAAAGGAGTGACGAAGGAAAAGAAACTTGATTAAAGACGGTATCAGTAGAGTCTGTATCACTGGAGCCAGCATCCATTGCGATTTGCAACCATTTTTGCACCAAGAAATGCATTTGGTTGGAGTCATAGGCGGCCACTATGTTCAACCTCAGATTAAGGTTGGAAGTGGAGGGAGTGAACAAACAAGGAGAGATGTTTGAATCTTAATCTTAGATTCAATAATATATATATATATATATATATATATATATTAACAAGTTTTTTATCATAATTTAAATTAAATTGGATTGAAATCAGATATTCAATAAATTAAAAATATTTAAATTTGAATCTTAATCTTAGAAATCCCATAAATTCTTATCAAATTCAGATCATCCATATTTCTTATTGAATCATATCAGATATATCTTTATTGAATCCGATTTGATCTGTTTTCATCCCTATTATGTTTTACCACATCATATATGTCACGCACCATTTATAAGAAGGGCTACCTCTCACCATAGAATTTCATTCTACAATAAGTTTTAATAGAACTTTACACTGTTTTTTTTTTTCATTCTAGGATAGACCTGTTCATGGGCCGGGTGGCCCGGCTCCGGACGGGTTTGAACATGTTTATAGGCTTGCAGGCTTAAATTCAGGTCAAAAAGCTCGGCTTGCAATAAATTCGAACCGGGCTCGGGTTTTGTCAAAATAGCCCGGCACGAGCCCAGCTCGGCTCGACCTAAAATTAGACTTAAAAATGGTTATGTGATTATATTCATTTGAATAAATTTTTTGATTTAAGAATGTAAAACTGTGTTTTAAAATGTAAAAGAAAGGGAAAAAAACCATCTTATAGGACCATTGTTCATTTAAATAATAAAAAAAAAACCATCTGAATTTTTAATTCTAATTTGAATAGGGAAAATTGTAATTTTTTTTATTAAGTCGGGCTTCGGGCTTTTTATCAAGGCCGGGCTCGGGCCCAAGTTATAGGCCCATTGGTCGGGCCAGGCTCGAACTCGGGACTAGCATATTTCTATTAATAATGAGTAAAAGCCCGACCCGACCCGAACCCAGTCCAGCCCGGCCCATGAACAGGTCTATTCTAGGATGATGTATGTCCTTCATATTTTGAAAAAACACATCAGCACCCCACAGAGCGCATCCCACAGGTGTCTCACATTTACATCTCACTATGCATTAAGGCCACATCAATACCCATATTTATCACTGAAAAATATTCTTAATACACGGTTGGGATGTATCTAAAGCACGCTTGTGGGCACCGATGTGAATTCATAATTTGGAGGCATCGTTAAAGTAATAAAGATGGGACAAACGCATCACAAAAAATAAACAAAAAAAAGTGGCAACTTTCGGTCCCACAATGCTGAATGAGCGCCATCAATTGTTACTGTTTGTATTTTATAAGTGATAAATGATTTATCTTTGGTTAAAATATTTAAACATATCCTGGGTATTTTTTTATTAATCGACTTGAAAGGTGCTCTGAGTTTTTCAATTAGACTTAAATGATCTCATTGAACGCAATAGGGAGATGGGTAGCAGCCCAAGTTTAAATATTTGATTTGATGATGGCTGACTGGCTGAGGTGGAGAGTGAGGGGGAGAATGTAGGCGCTGTTTTAGTGTTTCAAATAATCTAGTTGGTGTATTGGATGAATTTAAGAAGTTAAGCTATATATTTTAAGGGTTCATTTGGTTCATAGTGGGAATTAGAATTAGAATCTTCTAGAATCAGAATTTAATTAGTTCTTTCCTATAGTTTGTTTGGTTCAGACAGGAATGGGAATGAGAATTAAAATCAGTAGGAATAGGATTTTATTTCCAAAGGAAGGGCAAGAAATGGCCATTCCCTCAAATGGAAGAATGTAATGAAATTCTGATTCTGCTCAACCAAACAGTTAGAATCAGAATAACCTATTCCAATTCTAATTCCGATTCAAGACCCCTATTCCTGAAAACCAAACGGACCCTAAGCCTATTTATAAAATTCAATCGGGCTGCAATTCAATTTATGAAAATATAGGGTATGTATGAGTAGTTTACTCTTCCATCTTTCATCGAAGAAATTAAAGGGAATTTTACATGCCCCAATGGACGGGGGATGAAAATTGAAAACAACAACACTATCACCAGAGCATATTAAAAAGAAGATAGAAATTGTCTTATTTTCCGAATTTATTTTCTCATACAAGCTACCCATGCCATAAGTACTGAGAATTCATCATATCGTCGACGATGCTCAATTGCTCATCCTAATACGGAAATAGCTAAACCTGGTTGAGGAAGGAAGCCAAACGTTTGATTCTTAACTCCGCTTTCTCACAGTTTGGATTGAATAGATGGAAGACGTGACCCTCTTCCTCTGTCTCCATTATCTCCACCACTCCATTCCATCCGCTCTTGACCAGTGAATCATGATACAGCCATCCCCTGTCTCTCAACCCATCTTTTCCTGCAACGAGTACCAGCACCCGCCTGCACCCCAAGCCCTCCAGACTAGGGGCTCCAGGAGCAACTGGATTTATGCGCGGATCATCGTTATCCTTCGCCGAAGGGCATGCATGAAGCCATGTCGTTTCTTCTGTTATATACTTCTCAGGATCTGTTGCCTCCTGATGAGGGCAGATTTGGCCCTCCAGTGAAGTTGCGACACGTGGCACCTCGTGACAACTAGGYAAGCCCCAAGGCAACAACTTACCAAGTTGGTCCCCCCCCGGGCAC